TGGATTTCATTGATTGGTGCCATGTTTTCGTTTGACCGCCGCTCGCTCTTTTCCAGCCTGACCCTATATCAGCTAACATTGCCCGTCGAGGAAGGCGATGACTAGGCATACGTAGCACATGTCCTAACCATCTCAGTCGATGCAATTTCACAGTCTCGTCGATTGATTTCCCCGCCTTACCTAGCACTCGACGCCTAACCTCAATATTGCTCACCTTATTATTCCACTTCACGCGGGAGATAGAACGCAGACACCTATGATCGAAGAAAGCTAATCTTTTCATGTCTTCTGCTCTCAATGGCCAGGTCTCACAGCCATAAAGGAGGACGGAGCGGACTGTTGAGCAGTACACACGCCCTTTGGTCGATAGTCGGATATCGCGTCTACGCCAGAGACGGCGAAAACTGGCGAATGCGAACCTAGCCCTCTGTATTCGTGCTGAAATTTCGTCGGAGATCAACCCGTTGGGGCTGATGGTACTTCCCAAGTAAGTGAAGCGGTCAACGTGCTCTACCACTTCACTTTCTATTTCTAATCTAGGGGTCGATGAAGTCCAATCCTGCAGCATCATCTTACATTTTATAGGGGCGAATCGCATGCCAAACATGCGGAGATTGTTGCTCAGGGTGTTCAGTAGACTCTGCATTTTGTCAGAGTCCTCGCCTAGAAGGACTATATCGTCCGCATATTCTAAGTCAACGAGATTCTTCCCTGGTAGCAAGTCAATCCCTGAGTCGCTGAAGTGAGTTAGGGTTAAGTCCATTAGTACATCTATGATGAAATTGAATAGGAATGGGGATAATGGGCATCCTTGACGGACGCCACTAGTCGACACCACTTCAGATGACAACTCGCCATAAGCCCTCACCTGGCTGCATGAGTACGAGTAGAGTGCCTTAATCAGTGCAATGTATTTTCTTGGCATTCCCTTTACAGCCAAGCATCGCCAGAGAACCTCCCGGTCGACGGAATCGAATGCCGCCTTTAGGTCAAGAAATATAATGATTGTCGGACGCCGGTAGGAATGCCTATGTTCTAGAATCTGTCGAAGGGTGAAGATGTGATCAATACACCCTCTACCTGGCCTAAAACCTGCCTGGTTTTCTCGTGTTTGTGTCTCCCGAGCACCACTTAATCTACGCAGTATTATTGAGCCTAGGATTTTAGATACTATATTAGTCAAGCTAATCCCTCTGTGATTATCACAAGACGACTTGTCCCCCTTCTTGTATATCGGGATGATCAGTGACTTACACCAACCCGATGGGACTTCCTCTGATTCCCAGACGCTGCTTAGAACCTCCGTTAACGCAGACCGTAAACTGTCGCCTCCGTACTTAAATACCTCTGGAGTCAATAAATCAGGTCCCGCTGCTTTGCCTAGCTTCAGATTGGTGACAGCTTTAGTAACCTCGGTTAAGGACGGAGGACCTGTGTCTATCTCCCATTCAGGGAGGTGTTGGATTTCCGGTAGGTTAAGTGTGGCTGTGGGCCAATTAAACTGCTCCTCATAGTGTTCTTTCCAGCGCTCCAGACGTCTATCCTGGGAGCTAATTATGGTGCCATTTTTCTCGGAGATTGTTTCGCTTATCATTTGTTTTTTACCACCTGTTTCCCTGATAAGCCTGAATAGTTGTCTGGTGTTGCCTATCGCCGATGCTTTTTCCATCTCTTTCGCCTTTGTCAACCACCATTGTTCACGGTCCTTGCGGAGACTTTTCGTAAGTTTCCTCTTGTGCAGCTTTCGCTCCTCATTGAATTCGGAGCTCGCCGGAATAAGTCTTCTAGCATCTATCAGTTCGGATGAGGCAGTCGAAATCCAATGGTTTTTACTCACCTTTGGATTTACCTTATTCACAGCTTTTACAGCTGTATCTATGGCTGACTGAATATTCTTCCAGGCTTCTTCAGGGTGAGCGCAGCTGTCAAACTCAGATATGTGTTTAGCTAGTTCTTCCTCAAATAGGGACTTAGTTCCCTGGTCGAGCTGGGGACGTGGTGGGTTTACCGCCAGCTGTTTCCTACGTCCGTTCAGTCGTAAGCACACACGAGCGCGGACCAGTGCGTGATCGGTATCTACACACGTGTTCCAGAAGGAGCGACAATCTCCTACCGACCCACGCCAACGATAGCTTATTGCTATGTGGTCTATTTGTGTCCAGCGTTGATTTGATGATGGGGGTCGCCAGGTCAAACAGTGTCTCTCCTTGTGTTTGAAGTTAGTGCTTACAAGATACAAATGATTATCTGAACAGAACTGTAGGAGACGGTCACCGTTGTCGGTTCGCTGGCACGGAATTCCGTATGTGCCACCGACATTCTTCTCAGATTGACACAATTTCCCTACTTGAGCATTAAAGTCACCAGCTAAGACGACTATATCTGAGCGTTTAGCCTTTCGCAGCAGACTAGACAGCTTTTGGTAGAACTCATCCTTCGTTTCATCCGAACTGCAGTCAGTGGGGGCGTAGGCGGAGATAACGAAAAGGCATCGGCGGGTAGTGCAGTCCTTTCTCTTTTTCACTGATCCGTTCAGACGGACAGCACACATTCGGCTATCTACCGGGATCCAGTCAAGTAGTGTCTTTTCTGCTCTAGGACTTAAAGCTATCCCAACACCAGCTAATCCTCGTGAGCTAGCCGTCGCATCTCCTGACACCCTCAAGGTGAATTTTGCAGATTCATCCTGTTGGCCAGGTGGGGTTAGGTGAATAACCACACTTGGGTCTTGTATGCGTGTTTCTGAAACACAACATACATCAATGGCTCGGGATGCCAGAGTCTTGGCTAGTGATGCTTGTTGTCCTATTTGGCAGAGTGTCCTAACATTAAATGCTCCTATATAAAATTGGTGGCGTGGTTTTAGGAGACCATCGGTGGTGGCTTTTTGGCTTCCATCGTTATCAGTGCACACAGAGTGAAGAGGAGGTGAAGAGCCAACAAGTAGGGGAGTTGCATTGGTAGAAGGAAGGCAAGATAATAGAGATGAAGGTGAAGACAAAGATGAGCGAGGATTAGAGGGGTTTCGCGTGCACATCGGATTGTGAGGGCGATTGTTACTTCCCGGCTGCCCACACCGTGGAAGTTGGTTGCGTGACCGCAGAGCCCAGGGGACAACTGCTTGAGGCCGGTCACACACGGCCTGTTTTTGTTTGTTCTTTTTTATTTGGTGTGTCTCAGTAGCGTATTTATCACTTCTGCCCTGTGACACGGCAGCAGAAAGCGCGGTCGTTGTTAATCCGGGCCTCGACCGATCCGGCATGGTATTTTGTGAATTATTTGAAATCATAGGATTGGATTGGGTAACTGCTTTTAGTCTAACTGCTATCCAAACAACCTTTCTGGCATGGTAGGACCTGCAGGAACATAAGTTCCAGCCAGTATAGCTTGTTGGGTCATTGCAGTGTTCAAGCCCGACCACCACGTCAAGGTAGCAGCTATCGGTCGGGGTTTCTGAATGTATTGAAATAAAATTCAATATGAGATAATGTACATTTCTGAATGTACATTATCTCATATTGAATTTTATTTCAATATCTAATCGATTCCACTCATATTACTTTACTTTACTTCGGCTATCTCCTACGGGAGGATGAGCCGGCTTCATGAACATCTCGAATCATCGCTGCCCAGGCGCGGCAATCTGATGAAGAGAGTTCATGAAGTTTCATGGGAATTTGGTACGAGTGATGTCCCCAGGATCGTTCGGCCTTTTGTTTGAGAGTGCAGCTCTAGCCTTTACACAACCAAGTGTGACCTACAAGGCAGTAGGAGTGGAGTAGGGAATCCACTATCCATTGGCAGCCGGTGACCGAAGTTCGGTTCATACGCCTTTTTGAATGGGGCCAGACATCCAGGACATCCAACAAGCCCTTTGTCCATACGTCTGCCGGTGAGCTCCAGTGAGCTTCATACGCCAGTCGTTGGAATCAGGGTTTAGCCATCTCCCCTAGACTGTCATCCAATGGACAGTGTCAACCCGGTGAAGAGCGCCGGGCATCCGCTTTCGCCCTCTCACTTTGGTGAAAAACATCTCCACCACGTGAAGGCAGTGAGTAGGACTTCCTCAGAAGAGGCTATGTAAGACGCCCAGTCATATGGGAGCATTTCAAGAGGTGTGCGGAGGGGTGGCCAACCCGCAGCGCAAGGCACCCACCCCCGACCATCCTGAGGCTTTGGAGGCCGGTCTACCCATATATATATATATATATATATATAAATGAAGGAAAAAAGTTGTGTGAGTGAGTGACTTGATATGATTTTGACTGGCAATAGCTTATGCTCGAAAGGTGGTCATCAGTAAATATTACTGTGTGACTTATCCAAATAAAATCTTATCAATATTGGAGTTAAAAGAATTATTTATTGACAATAGATCGTGTAACACAGTTCTATCTTTCGGACCTGAAGCTGAAACCAATCCATTGTGTGTTATGTGTTCTTTACCTCCTTCGAGGAATACATGACGATATTTTATTGAATGCCAATTATAGAAAATTCAGTAGTACATTTTGTGGACGCAGGACACTACTGAGGAACGGTCATCTCATGCATTTGGAGAGGCTACCATCCATCCATCGAGGATAATGCTTTTTCACCTCATGTTTAGTAGAAACTTTAGAATCAGCAGGTTGTAAATGTTTTAAATGCTCACCAGAGGAAACAACACTATTAGAGATCATACTTTAATAGATTTAAACAAATTGAATAAGAGAAATTGTATACAATATATATCGGTAGTCTAAGTATTAAGCCGGCCACCAAATCAGTATAGGGTTGGGTTTGTCGTATTCTCACCTATTCATTCGCCTTGTGTTTATTCTTCCTTTGTAACTTTCTCTTCCCCTTTTAGCTATATGAGTGTTATTTCTATTTCCCGCCTTTTATCAGCTCTGTGATGTGGTAATAAATTGCTTCAGCATATAATGTGTAACAATTGATTCTCATGCATTGGTTTTCTCTCCTCCTCCTCCTTTTTTTTCTAACTTGATTTATCATAGATGCCCGGACTACACAATGGGAAGATCCACGGTTAGAACGACTGGGTGGTCCAGCTGTCCCATATTCAAGAAATTATAAACAAAAATATGATTACTTTCGATCAAGACTTAAAGCACCACGTGATCCACAAGCGAAATTTGAACTGCGTGTCACTCGTGCGGGTATTTTTGAAGATTCATTTCGACTTATTTATGGGATTAAAAGACCAGAAGTTCTTATGCATAGGTGAGAGTTGTGCTTTATTTTGTCTTATATTAATCTTCGTTTTTGTATGGTTAACGTGTTTCTCACTAACCATTTTGACGCAACACCAACTTCATCCTTAAATATTGGGAAAATAGAGCAAAATTTACTATATCTGGGGCACTGATTTTTGCAAACATACGAATATTTTCAAGGAATACTCTCTAATGACTTTCAAAATAGCCACTTAAACTGACTGAATAATATAGGATGTTGTGTAGAAGGAGTCCAGTTGTAACGACTGAAAACAAGAGCCAGGCAACAAACAGATCGTTTATTGAGAAAATCAACAGATATTTATAGATGCGTTTTATGTACATTATTATTAGTGTTATTGTTAGCAGAGAAGCAACCTCTCCTGACTGGTTGTTTTCTTTCTGAAGGTTATTCTCTACTGCTTGTGACCGTTTCTTAGAAAGTTAAGCCATATATCTACGAATCATATTTGCACATGTTAAGTCTGCTGTGACTGGTTGATGAGTTCCTCAAGGTTAAGCTTTGTTATTGTTTTTTTCTCATGACCCCGATTCGGGACGTAAACAGCATTGACGTGAATTTTTGTCTACAATTTTGGCTTGTTCGTAGTCAGCTCTCACCTCGCAGTTAGTGTTATCACATCTCGAAGAATTATGCACAGAGTAAGAATAATCTGATGCTTACTAGCGACTGGCCCTATTCAGACGGTTAACCTGGGGTTCTAGTGGGAAGCCGGGACCAGTAGGGTACAGCAGGTTGAAGGAGGGGCAGTAACTCATCAAAGATATACTCCTTCTAGGCGATGACTCTGGCAAAATGCAGAGTCTACTGAACACCTTGAGCAACAATATTCGTATGTTTGGCATGCGATTCGCCCCTGTAAAATGTAAGATGATGCTGCAGGATTGGACTTCACCGATCCCTAGATTAGAAATAGGAAGTGAAGTGGTAGAACACGTTGACCGCTTCAATTACTTGAGAAGTACCATCAGCCCCAACGGGTTGATCTCAGACGAAATTTCAGCACGAATACAGAGGGCTAGGTTCGCATACGCCAGTTTTCGCCGTCTCTGGCGTAGACGCGATATCCGACTATCGACCAAAGGGCGTGTGTACTGCTCAACAGTCCGCTCCGTCCTCCTTTATGGCTGTGAGACCTGGCCATTGAGAGCAGAAGACATGAAAAGATTAGGTGTCTTCGATCATAGGTGTCTGCGTTCTATCTCCTGTGTGAAGTGGTATAATAAGGTGAGCAACATTGAGGTTAGGCGTCGAGTGCTAGGTAAGTAGGGGAAATAAATCGACGAGGTTGTGAAATTATATCGACTGAGATGGTTAGGTAATGTGCTACGTATGCCTAGTCATCGCCTTCCTCGACTACGGGCAATGTTAGCTGATATAGGGTCAGGCTGAAAAAGAGCTAGTGGCGGTCAAACGAAAACATGGCACCAGTCAATGAAATCTAAAACAGTTAGTCTAAGCCACGTAGGAAGATGTAGACTTCCTGGTTGGGGTCCTCGGGATGGTAAAACCAATGGTTGGAAACAATTGGTGACATGGCTCAAAATCGTTCTCAGTGGGGCAGATGCATCCACTCCTTGTGACTTATGATTTCCAATTAAACTGTTTTGTTCTCCGTTATTACTACTCCTTTGTCTCACACCTCTGTTTACTGTCCATATTATGCATTTCTTCTACTTTCTTCTCTTGCTTTGCGTGCTACATGGATTGTGGTGACTTGAACTGCCGCACATATGTGCAAAGTTCTATGTCGAAAACCGACCGACCGAACTCATCAAAAAAGATATTGCGGAGTAGTCGCGCTATGTCATGAGTTGACAGAAGTTAGAGTTCATGGACGACTGGCCATTGAATCAGGTCCCAGTGGCTTAATGGTCAACGAGCTAGCTCGCCTTGTAACTAGAAGTCCCTAGGTTCGAACCTTGATGGTGGTGGGTGCGTACTGTGAAGAGTCTCAAACTAGGCTGATGAGACAGCTGTCTGGCAGTACTCTCTGGCAGGTTTTCCAATGATTCTCTAACTGATGTCAGCTCATGATGAAATCCTCGAACCTATGAAATAAAATCCCTACAAAACGCAACACTTAAGAATAATATGACAAGTGTCATACGTATTTGTATATCCGTTCCTGCTTAGTACATCACAAATATTACCGAGTTTTTCGTTCAGTGTCTCTCGATGAACCAGATATGCTGTTGAACCCCTATGTTCCACTCGGAACCTAAGGGAATAACAACAATACTAACAATATTCCTTCTACAGGGTGGGTGGCAACACTCCTTGACGTTCTAGTAATCCAATAGAGACACCTTAGTGTCACCAGACATCTTTCTGTTGATGAAAATAAAACTTCACATCCAGGTATAGTGTTAGTAAATTCATAACGCCATGACGAGAATTGCTTAGTGTCTTGCTACCATGCAGGTGACGTTTGTGGCATGATGGAATCTACTAGCAACTCTCTCTCCGACCTCTTATAACCCTTCGGATCATTCCTTGTAATCAAAGTTGATCATTGCCGCATTCAGCATATGAAACAGGATCCAGATCTTCGACACTAATTTCAAATTAGTGCTTCTATATGGTTCAGAGACTGCCACGTGCACATAATGAAAAGCCTTTCAAACAGACCACTTCAGATTTTCATCAACAGCTTCCTTTGCTTCAATACTGAACTTCAGATGTCCGCAGAGAATGAACAACAAAGAACCAGTCGGTGGACGTAACATTCCAATAAATAAACGCTGAAGAAAGTGGAAATGGATTGCACCCAGGCTAAGGGGGAACTGTTGAGAGACATATCACGCTCCAAAAAGCCCTCGAGTGGAGTCCCTAGGGAGGACACTGTTAACAACATAATACTGTTGCTTCAAAGGAGCAACTCTCAGTGAGCAAACTTACTGATAATGGAGTTTCTGCAGGAAATATGATTATTTTGTAGTCGACCTTCTGGAAAATGCTTCTACTCCGTATCATCTCTTCTTTCGAATCAATGGTGTATTGCAGAATGTTTGTACAAAGCTGTTGTCAGATGTCCAGATTGCAAAACGTCCTAAACGTATTCACTGATTTCAGAAGACTGCGTCTAACACACCGAATACTGTGCATAGTCCCAACCAACGTGGAATATCAGAAAACGTATTTGCAATACCAGGATTGTTTATTTCCGATTACGAAACAGGATCACAAGGTATTATGTGCATAGTCTGTGAATAAACATTAATAAAAAAATGTAATATAATACTTCTGGTCGTATTTCTCCAGTCCTCTGCCAACCAGTATACGATTATGCAGTGATCGCCATTGTTTTCTCTCGCCAAATGCAGACCAGTTCGAATAAACTTCGTGTGCATTATTATATGAATAGTTAGTTTTATAGAAATGGGTCCTTCAACATTAGTTTGAACGGATTCAGTTTTCCTGAGCTGAGGTTGTACAAGTAGGCACACTGCTGATGTGCTCAAACTTGAAGAAGTGAAGAACGTGTTTGTTCAGTGTTTGGCTGTTTGCATTTCGTCAGCAATCACTGCTGATTAATGTGAGTACATTTCAATTACTCATTTTAATCAGTAATATGTGTCATCATAGAAAGTATAGGCTGGTTGGTTTCACATATAGTCACTTAATATTGTAGAATTAAAGGATGAATTGCGTACCAAACAAGAACAACCACGACACTAATCAACATAAACCGAAAAAAATAAATGAGGTCACTTTTTCCACTTATCTAGGAGGTATTGTTTCAACTACAATCGGAATAGATGAAGATGTCAACATCATCCAGAATCGGAAAGACAAGTTACACCTCCAACACCCTGAAATCAGTTTGGAAATCTGCACTCAGGCAACATGCAAAAAGAACGAAATTCGGGTATGGAACACTAGTGTGAAGTCAGTTCCTCATATATGGGTCAGAAACTTGGTGTTCACGTCACGAAAGCAGACTGTTATCAACAGCTGCCTTCGCTGGCTCCATATTGAAGATCAACTGACGAGGAAGCATCAGCAACAGAAAACTCTAGGCGGTGACGATGGATTACTGGGCGCACTCTCAGGAGACGGTCGAATGACATCGCGCTCAATACACAGGCCATCGCTCGAGTGGAACGCAAACAGGAAATGACGAGTTGGGCGTGTGGCCGAGAGCGCCGTGGAGATAATCGTGGGAGGAGGAGATGAGACACTATGGGTAATCATGCGGCCAGCTGAACAGAACCTCAAAGAATAGGACAAAGTTTGGACGTTCTGTAGAAGCCCTATTTTTCACTTGGAACCCCCAAGGAACAACAATAATGTGGCGTACTAAACGGACTAAAGTTGTTCTTATAGAGTTCTGTTACTCTTTTATTAGCATGAGGTCTTATCCACAGAACTTTTAACAAATAATCCAGATAATTCAAGGGTAAATTTCCTGGACACAAACAACGTCGTCAGTCATTTCTCCCTTGACTATTATCTATAAGGAGATTTTTTTCATCGTATGATAGGCAGACTGAACGAAAAAATTGTGGGAGGTGAACATATATATTTCAATAGTTTTACCTGATTTGTTTGTCTGTGGTGGTGTATTATATTTTGTTTTCCTGAGTTTTTGTAGCCTCTTCCGTTCTCTATATCTACCTCTACGGATAGGCATATATCGCTTAATTTTTGTTGGAGAATATCTCCTGTTTTGTACACGAAATCATAATACTCTTTTGTTGAGTAGTAGCAGCAGTGTGGGGCGAGAGCTGGCTGTGAAAAAGCCGATATTGTAGACAACAATTCACGTCAATGCCGTTTACGTCCCGAATCGGGGTCATGAGAAAAAAAATACAACATTCATGGGTGAATAATCCCTATCCAGGCATTAATGAAAACAAAACACGCATAGTTCAGCGAAGAGTCTGTTTTCGATGGCGAATTCATTTTCTTAGCTGAACAATCGCAAATATATACGTGTTATTTTGTATGTATGTGTACATTAAGTTTGTCAAATAAGAATAAGAATACAATTGGTGATGGTTATTTTAACTAAACAGATGAATATTGGTAATTCGAGTTACGTTATACAAAATCAGTCAAGAAAATCAGGTGTTAATGAAATTAGGGTAGTAACAAAGGTCATGAGTTGTCACAAACAGTTGTTAAAAACGAAGTTATGTAATAATATGAATAGTTTGATGATTTAGTTTTACTCAGGATACACACAGGAACAAAGTAGAGAATGTGAAATTACGTAAGAGTTCTAAATGAATACAAGAATTATAAGCAATTAAAGAAGAGGCAAAGACACAAAATTAAGTCATCAAAATCAACAAAGTTGTTACCATGAGAGTAGAAGTAGTTGCGTAATTCTCTTTTGTATGCACAGCTCTGGTTTTTCTATGTGAATGGTCAGAGCTTCAACGATACAAAGACGAAACCGTATTGCCTTTGATAGGTTATTCTTGACTCTATAGATTACTTTGAAGCAGGAGGCGTTTTTTGAGATGGAATGATCAGTGTTAACCAGGCGTTCAATTATCGCACTCCTTATTGCACCACTATTGTCACGTGCTGCGCATGCCTAACCATCGCCTCCCCCAACGGGCATTACTAGCTAATATAGGTGCAGGTTGGAAAAGAGTAAGAGGTGGCCAAACAAAAACATGGCCTCATCAATCCATGAAATCCCTGACAGTTAAACTGAGTCAGGTAGGGAGATGCAGACTTCCGGGTTGGGGCCCGCCCTCGGGACTCTAAGAATCAATGGCTGGAAACAATAGGTGACATGGCTCAAAATCGTTGTCAATGGATTACGCAGATGTATTCAGTCTCTGTAATCTTTCATATTCCTTTCTACCATTACTCATTCTGTTTCACTCTTATACTTGTCAAAACTCTATTGATTCTCTTCACTCATTTTCTTGTCTGCCTTTGAGTGCTATTTGGAACGTGGCAACTCGAAGTGCTGCACTTCGATGGCAAGTTCTATGTTGAATCCAGCAGCAGCATTGCCTTTTCGCAACCATACTGGATAGTGTTCTTGAATCCTCTTGGACAGGGTGCGCGTCGAACGATCGATGTACCTGGCTGGGTCCACAGCAGCAGCTGAACTGATATATGCACATAGAAGTGGTCAGATGCGGGACCTTGTCCTTGAGGCTTCTGCAGATCAATGGGCGACTGGAGAACAATATTCTTAGTGTTGCTGCACAGAATGTTATTCTCAGAGATGATGTGATCCTTCTCTTGCTAAATCTCCCTTGAAATCCAAGTTCATGTAGAGTTTATTTTCAGGCGCAATTAAAGTTTCATTTCTCCGAATTCTTGGTTTCATATTTTTGTCGATAAATCTTATTGAGTATCCATTTTGGATGAAGATTTCTCTGAGAATATCTAATTCTGTTTCTAGAACATCAACACTGCAGATACGTCAGATGCGGGTGGTAAATGATTTAATTAAATTCCACTTTTGTTGAATGGGTACTCAGCCATAGAAGCTTGTTAGTTGACCATTCCAAGTAGCTTTTCTGTGGATCAATCTTGCTGAACTTGATGAACTCACCAACCAATCACAGCAGATTTAACGTGTGCAAGCAAGATTCTCAGATTTATAGCTTAGCTTTCTAAGAAACGATCACAAGTAGTACAGAATAACCTTCAGCAAGAAAGCAACCAATCAGAAGAGGTTACTTCTCTGCTAAAAATAACCCTAATAATATTAATAATAATAATAATATACATAAAAATCTATAAATATCTGTTGATTTTCTCAATAAACTATCTGTTTGTTTTTACGGATTGATATCAGTTAGAGAATCATTGAAAGCCAGGGAGTACTGGACAGCTGTTTGATCAGCCTAGTTTCGGAATCATCGGCAATACGCCCCCACTGCCAGGGTTCGAACCCAGGACCTTCCGGTTGTAAAGAAGACAAGACTGAGGAGACTGAAAGCAATGTTTATTTGGTGAAACGTACGGTACAAAGCTAAATTTGGAATACCATATTCTCAACCGGCCATTTGCACATCTTTACCACATCCTTAACGAATTGGTCGAATATCGTCTCATTCGATAGCTTCTTGGATTCTGCATCATATGGCAACATTCTTCTCATGGTTCTCTTCTTTGATTGCTCTTTCCAGTGTGCCAAACATATTGTTACTTCGTTTCTGATATACTACTTATATCGGATTATAAGTAGCACTCACCACACGGTAACAAGGCAAGCTCACTATTGACTTGCTGCAGGATGGAGTTTCCTGGAGTTCCAGTGAGGTCCATCCAGATCTCACGTGTGAGGATGGATGTCCCACCGTTGACACTGGTTGGGGTCGCGCTAAATCACGAATTGGTAGAAGTTGGAATTCATGCACTGGCCATCGGATCGGGTCCAAGTGGCTGAATGTTATACGAGCTTGCTTTGTAACCGGAAGGTCCTGAGTTCGAACCCCTTGTGGTGTATGCGTACTGCCAATGATTCCCAAACTCGGATGAAACAGCCGCCCAGTACTTTCTGGATGGTTTTCAATGTTTCTCTATCTGATACCAATCCGTGATCAACTCGTAAAAACATAACTAACCCTTACAAACCGAACTACAGAAAATTGATCTGTTTGTTACCTGTCTCTTCTCCTTTGTCGTTACAGTAGTAGTAGTTAGTTGAGTGTGCTATCCAATGTTTCTCAGATTTGAAACCTTCCATTATCTCACACATAAATATATATCGATCAGTTGGAGATAACATCTAAATCTCTATTGTTAGAAGTAATTTATGCACAAAAGTGATCTCGTTTTATTTCTCTGCGATTATCTAATCGACAGTGTTGCTTTCTCAATTACACGCCTATCAATATATGTGTATGTATTTATGTATGTATATGTAACCTTTTTCAGATTATGGATTGAGTTTATCGGTGAGAAAGGCTTAGACTATGGTGGTGTACAGAGAGAATGGTTTTTCTTATTATCACGTGAAATGTTCAATCCTTATTATGGTCTATTCGAGTATTCAGCTGCGTAAGTCAAATTGTTTTATTTATTTATTTTTTAAAGTGTTATCTTTATTATTATTATTGTTATCAGTATTATTTTTTCAAGTTTTTAATCACGAGTTGACTATATCAGGCTGAAAGAACTATTAAAAACCAGAGAGACAGGGAGTGCTGCGCAGCTCATTGGTGGTAGTACGCACCCACCCCCCACAGGGGATTAAATCCTCAGGATATTCTGGTTATTTGCATTACACCCATAAATTAACAAACAACATATTTTGATGTGGTTGTGTTCTCTGAGCTGGATAGTTCATTTGCGAAGCTTTCATCATTGTCCTACTAGGCGACATCTTCAGCGCATATTTCAATTCGTTGAAGTGAGCTTTTAGATTTCTCCACAATTTTATTGATCATTTCTCCTGGTGACCTTCAACGTGACTCTTTGGTTGTTTTTGTGTGTTTTCACACCCTCTAGACTACCTGTATTGAAACTGATTGTTTCTTTGACTTGAACTTTGACCCTTTGTGTGTGTGTGTGAGGTTTCCTTCTTGTTGGTTGATAAATTTTGTCTATCTCGATGTGTCTATTGATTGATGATTCACTGGAATACCAGACACCTTCTAAAAATTCTCTAGCATTCTTGTCGTTTTCTCTGTCTAATATATTTGAACGTTGTCCAATTCGACTGCTTCTACAGAAGCAGTTATGTGAAGGCTCGAAAAGATAAAACTCACAAAACCTAATAAACAACGTCTTCAACGACATCAAATTCACAAGAGAAGAGAAATCCGAGAACAAAATCCCATTTTTGGACGTCTTAGTCAAGCGAACAACCACAGGGGAATTGGAAACTCAAGTTTATAGAAAATCAACTCACACAGACCAAATACTGAGTTACAACAGCAACAATCCAATAACACAGAAAAGGAATTGCATACAAACACTATTCAAGAGGGTCAGAAATCATTGCAGCAGTCCCACCTTAAGGAAAATTGAAGAAAGATATCTCATGGACGTCTCTCAAAAGAATGGATATACACGGAACTTCATCAAAAGTCCCCCCCCCCAATATATATGTATATATATAAGACATTGTGAAACCATGTGACTAAAATCAATGTAATTATGAGCGATAAATTGTGCTCGAAACCTTGTCATCATCCAGTTGTCAATACACCATCGCTGTGTGATACTTAAAATAAACGTATCTAATATGGAATTACACTTTACCACAGTGCCCAAATTCTATACTTACATTAACGTAATCCAAAGACAACAATTAATGAGCGTCTCTCAGTAGTCAGTGTCATTACACAATATCTTTTTTTTAGTATGTAATTTCATATGTTCTGGGCTCCCAAATGATATGAACAATTGACTTTAGTGGCATTCCCCTCACCTTTAAGCAACATTAGAATTTAATTGGTGGATGGTGACTAGCAGTAGAATCCAGGATGAAGCGTATTTCGTCCTATTCTGAACTCGTCATCCGGACGCACCTGCATTCCCCAGTGATTCAGTGGTAATGTTCCAACCGAGGCTCGGACCCAGTGCCCATAGTTTCAAACGCCAAAGCGTTATCCACTAGACCACGAGGGCCACCCGTCGATTGATTGAACCGAAGTAGTGTTCGATGGTCTCAGGTTGAAAATCTAAAATTCAATTAAGCCACATTGTGTAATTATACAGCTTTGAAGTAAAGTTAGGATGTGACAGTATTCTTTGCTGACCTGGGGGTATTTATTCTATTTCGTTTTATTATTTTTTTTTCTTTTTATTTCAAACAGAGATAATTATACCCTCCAGATCAATCCACTCTCGGGTGTAGCTAATGAAGAACACTTAAAATATTTTAAATTTATTGGTCGTGTTGTCGGTATGGCAGTATATCATGGTAAACTGGTGGATGGATTTTTCATTCGACCTTTTTATAAAATGATGCTTGGTAAGACAATATCACTGAAAGATATGGAAGCTGTTGACTCCGAGTACTATCGAAGTCTGAAGTATATTCTGAAAGAAGATCCTGCATCTCTAGATTTATCAATGTCAGTTGAAGAAGAGCATTTTGGTGAGACTGTTGAAGTGGATCTTGTTAAAGACGGTAGAAATATTCGTGTGACAAATAGTAATAAAACACAGTATATAGAGTAAGTGAATAATGAATACCCTAATTCTTTATTTTCGCACTTGACTTATCGTATTATTATTGCTATTAAAACGCAAACTCCCGTCGCCTTGTAACTGGAATGTCCTGGATTGGAATCCCAGTGGATGCTGATTGGTGAGGAGTCACAGACTAGGACGAAACTACTGTCCAGTACTCTTAGTTTTTTCAATAGTTCTCTAACGGATTTCAGCTTGTGAGGAAAACCCCTGTAACAAAATTCATATATTATGGGCACCAAAAGACGCACCACACAGAATCTCATATTTTGCGCGAGAGTTAATATACTGCCCTCGGACCCTGGATATTATTTCAAGGGATTATCTCCTGAGCCGTTGGCTCTTGAAGTCTGATCCACAAGACACAGCAGAGCAGCATCAGGAGGTGCATTCCCACGGCTTCCTGTGACCGAAACAGGTTCATACACCGTTTGATCCGGTCGGATTCTGGAGCCTAAGTGTACAGCATAGGTTTAGAGTCAGTGTTTCTCAGCTTTCCTACGTGTTCACCAGCTCAGATGTAAGTGCTAGACATTCGCATTCTTCCTTTCACTTTTGTGAGGAATAACCCCTCCTCATGAAGTCGCGTGGCCACATAAGAGGATTTCGAGGTAAGGGCCGTAGTCCACCCGGCCTTGGCTGTACCAGGTCGTTTATGAAGGCGTTTTCTTGCATCCTCGGTGTTTAATCCCTAGAGTAATATGATGAATAGTTTCATTCATTTGAGGTATCATCCTGTTCGTAAAGAAGAAATAGACTGAATAACTCCCTTAAACTTATTGGCCTTTATAAATGTCTGTCAGGTTACACTTGAGATTGATATCAGTCAAAGAACCATTGAAAACTAGGGACAGCTATTTCGCCTTAGTTTAGGACTCATCATCAGTACGGACCCACTAGTTTTGGAATCTAGGACCTTCCGGTTACAAGGCAAAATCGTATACCATTCAGTCACTGGGACCAGACTCCTCAATGGCCGCCAGTCCATGAATCCTAACTTCTACACCAATTCATGATTTTAGCGTGACCATCAACCAATGTCATCGGTGGGAACTACATTCTCACTCTCGCCTGGATGGACCTTAGTGGTCACGACTTCTGACTAGAACTCACTCCAGGCAACTTCGTCATATATAGCCAATCACTAGCCCTCACCTGAGACAAATAGAATCCCTAATTCCCTAATTCTTGAAAATAAATCTGATGCCTGACAGATGTATCGGTAATTGGCAGGAGTTGGGATTCATGAGCTGACCATTGAGTTGTGGCGTCCCAGTGCTTAAATGGTATTACGGGCTTGCCTTATAACCAGTAGACCCTGGGTTCTAGACCCCAGCGCGGTGGGGGTGTATACTCCCGATGAGCCCCGAACTAGGGTGAAACAGCTGTCCAGTACTCCATGCTGGTTTTCAGTGGTTCCCCCGCTCTAACTGATATCAATCCTTGGTGTAACCTAAAGCGAACAGAATCACTACGACTTAATTCTTGAAAATTTATAAATTTCAATGTAGCCAAAACAACAACCACAACAACAACAAGAAATCTGTGCAAACCATCCAACACTTGAATGTCATTAGCTCTGTTGGATTAAATTTCAGTTTTGTAAACAAATTAATGGTAAATTTAAATTCAATATCGCCTCTCTCTCTCTCTGTCTATATAGACGCATCATCAATTGGCGGTTTGTATCACGTGTAGAAAAACAAATGTGCGCATTTCTTGAAGGTTTCAGTGATTTGATACCTTTAGAAGCATTGCAGATATTTGATGCTAATGAATTAGAATTATTAATGTGTGGTCTACAAGATATCAGTGTAACCGACTGGAAAGCTAACACTCTGTATAAAGGCGAATATCATGCAAATCATCCTGTGATTGTGAATTTATGGAAGGTAATTCATGAAAATTTTTTTTATTGTTATCTTTTATGACAGTGAAACAGCTCCAGTGGTTGTCCGTTCGAATGTCTACGACGTTGTAGATCCGCGTTTCCTATTCGATCTCCGGTCGAGTGATGTGGCCTGTTGTGCAGTGTCACTCAATCCGTGTCCGATCCATCTGTATTTTCTTTCACAAGTATGTTGAGTAATAAGATCTTGAGCGGAATGGTTTGGTTCCAATCATAGTTTCTTGTTGCTAATTCTTTCTAATCGCCCGTTTGATCTTCAGTATAGAGCCAGCGAAGGGGACAATTGTTGATAAAAGTCCGTTAGAAATGCTTTCCATAACCCATATAGAAGAATCCCGTCAGGCGGCAGAATAATTAATCCTTTGGATATTGTGAACTCTGATGTCAACAATCCCTGAGTGTGTAGATTTTACACCTGTGTATACAGCCTTATTCATGGAATTATACCCTTGAGAGGTGACTGTTGCCTATGTAGTGTGTCACAGAGGTGGGGGGGAATCATTTACAGTGCCAGTCACCTCCTTCCAACTTCACACCCACCCGTTAACCTGTTAATTATCTTCTCAAATCTCGTATTAAGAACGCCTTCACATTGAACATTTCTCTGACAAGTAGCCAAAAGTTCTCCGGTGTGATTCGCCATACACTTTCGGTCAAAGACCAATAGTTATACCATGCACGGAATTTAGCAAGAGCACTTTTCCATGGATTTTTTATACACCACAATTGTTTATTAATATCCCACGCCTGGCGTTTTATCTGAACAAGTAGTAAATATGACAAGATTCTCGTCAGCAAGCATGTTGAAATCATGAGAATCAAAATCTTTACAGAGGGTTGATGATACAATGATAACAACCATTGGTTTCCGTCAAGGATGCCCATAGTCGCCATTTCTATTTAATCTCAACACAGATGTACTAATGGAATTGACCGCAGCTGACTTAGGCGACTTACGGATTGATCTGTTACCAGGGAATAATCTCTTTGACTTAGAATATATGGATGATATAGTCCTCCCTTAAGTGAAGACGGTTACAAAATGGAGCAGAGTCTTTGGAACACCTTGATTAGCAATGTCCGAATATTTGGCATGTAATTTACTCTATTCAACTACATAAAGATAAGGAATAAAGTGGTTAATGCAGTGCGTTGACCACTTCCCTTATTTAGGAAGTTGCAACAACCACAACGGGTTGATAACAGGCGAAATCTCAGCACGGATACAAAAGGCTCGATTAGCATTTACTAAGTTACGCCATCTCTGGAGTAGATGTAATATTCGACTAGCTACAGATCAAAGGACGTGCGTACTTCTCAGCAGCACTTCACTCTGTCTTCCTTTATGGCTGTGAGAAATCGTCATTGAAAGTAGAAGATACGAAAAGGCTGGCTAGCTGTCCTTACTCATAGATGTCTGCCTTGTGTCTCCCGTGTTAGGTGGTATGACAGCGTGAGTAATACTGAGATCAGGCATCAAGTGTTAGGTAAGGAGGTAGAATCTACCGAGGAAGTAGTAAAGTTACATCGACTGTGTTACACATTCCTAACCATCACATTCCTCGATGGGCAATGTTAGGATGGATCAGGTTGTAACAGAGCTAATGCTGGTCAAACCAGAACATGGTATCAGTCGGTGAAACCCACAATAGTTAATTTGAGCCAACTACATAGGGGTGCGTCGGTGGCATAGCGGTTTGGATACTCGCCGACCACGCACATGGTCCGGGGTTCGATCCCCCGTCGACGCACTCCTTTACCTCGCTAAACCACAAATAATGCTAGTAAAGAGAAAAGATTGGGCATGAGGCTAGCAACCCCATTCTGTAAAATAAACACTGCTACAGAAACTTCAAGCCTTTAGCTTGAAGCCCTATGTTCCACTGGGGAACGTGAAGGAAAAAAACCACATAGGGAGGTGTAGACTGCCCACTTGCCTGGTTGAGGTCCTCGGGATGGTAAGAACCAATGACGGCTGGAGACGACAGTTGGTGATATGGCTAAAAATCCTCGATCTCAATGACTGATGCAGATGCATTCCATCTTTGTGATTTATCATATCTAATAAAACTCTATTTTACCTCCATAATACTCACACTTCTGTTTATCATCTCTCTTTCTTTTGAATCCATCTTTCCTCTCTTCTCTTGCTTTGTGTGCTACATGGGGAGGGCTAGGGGGAACTGGAACTGGTGCACATCTGTGCAAAGTTCTACGTTGAAATTAGTCAGTCAGAGTGATGCAATCGATATTGTCACTGGAATTACACGACCACTAGATATAGATAAAAGTGGTTATCTTCACGCTCTTTCTTAAAGTTATGCTCATCTTGCCGAAAGTCTTTGACTTTATTTCATGATATTAGACTGCCATCATGCTGCCAATAAGGCTTCAAGAACACATCTCCACTTTGTTCTGTTTTCTGTTGTGCTCTGCAGCTGGGTCTACAATTGCCCATAATCTCTCATCTCCTCCTTGCACGACCTCCTCTATGTTACCCTCGTACTGACGACCCACTCGTCGCTTCCCACTGGGATTCCACTCTAGCAATAGCCTGGCAATGGCGTGACGTCATTGGACGGCCTCTTCAAATTATGCCTGATCCATCTCCATTTTCTCCTACATATTCGGTGAGCAGTCCGCTCTTGGTTGGTTTGTTTCCAGAGTTTCTTGTTGCTAATTCTTTCTAGCCGGTCATGTTATCTTCAGTATGGAGCCAGTGAAGGTACCAGTTGTTGATCAAAGTCTGCAGTAGGCTGTTGGAAATGGTTTTCTTGACGCGCAGTGCACGTTTGTGACCCATATAGAAGAACTGACTTCACATTTGTGTTGAAAATCCGAATCCTGTTCTTTATACTGGCTGAGTAAGTGAAGCGGAAGATTTCCAAACTGGTTTCACGTTAATGAAGGTGTATCTTGCCTCTCTAATCCTCTCTGGCTGGCTAGCTCTGACATCTTCATCCATTCCGTCAGCTTGTGGTTGAAACCGTGCTTCCTGTTGAAATAATTGAAGGAAGTAACCTGTGTCAAATCTCTCCTGTTGTGATGGTGCTGGTTGTTGTTACTGTTAGTTGGTTGGTTATCTTCATCACCTCTGCCTTCTATATGTTCACCTGGATTCCTGTCTTTGCCAATTGTCTATACAGCCAATTTGTTGTTTTTCGCCTGTAAGTCTTCGAGGTTGTGTGACATCAGACATATTATCGTCTGCCAAATCCAGATCTTCTAGAGTCGACTTATCGGTGGTCCAGCGTATTCCTGACTCATCACCCCCAACAGTGTGACACATAATCCAGTCCACCACAATTAAAAATATCATCGGTGATGATAGGCAGTCTTGTCTTACTCCTTTATACACTTCGAATGCCTCGCTGAGTTTTCCGTTGTGGATCACTTGACACTCCAGTTCACTCTATCCTCCTTAATGGTTGTGGTATATGACTACAGAAAGTGAAAGACATGAAAAGACTAGCTGCCTGTGATCATAGGTGTGTGTGTGTGTGTTAGGTGGTGGTATGATAAGTGAGTAATATTGAAGTTGGGCATCGAGTGTTAGGTAAGAAGTGGAAATCAGTTCATGCAGTTTCGAAGCTACATCAACAGAGATGATTAGGACAAGTCCTACGCATGATAGGCCACCTGTGTCAAATCTCTCCTGTTGTGATGTTGATAGGTGCTGGTTGTTGTTCTTATTGTTGGTTGGTTATCTTCATCACCTCCGCCTTCTTTATGTTCACCTGAAGTCCTGTCTTCTTTGGCTGCATCTTCAGTCAGTTTGTTGTTTTTCGCTTGCCTGGAAGTCTTCGAGTTTGATTGATTGGTAGTGTGAAATATATTTCTGTATCATGCATTAAAATTCAATTTTAATGAATATTTTATCTCATTTTTCCAACAATTTCTTATCAGTTCGTCACAATTATAAAAAACATCATATTTGTGCTATCGTTACAGTTAATGGTCAATTAGTTATGCAGTGGGAGACATTTTCACGTAGAGAATCACAAACTAGTGATATCAGGTGGTGACAAAATAAGCAGTAATAGTGTTTGTACGATTAAATTTTGCCTACAGATTTTTGCACTCTCATCATTAGTACTGACGATATAAAGTTTTAAAAACAACACAACCCAGGTGACTGACTGACTGACAACGTAAACTTTATCTGTTTCGAAAATGTAGAAGAAATAATACAATTACACAAAGGCGCGCAACTGTCCATCAAGGAGAAAGGACAAAGACGTTTCGAGCAATATATTGATGTGTGGATTACATTTACTTACACATATACATGTGAGAGAAAAAAAGCTGGAAAACAACACTCTTCCAAGGTCAACCTTAAGTGGTGGGAGTTTTAACTTGAGGGTAACACCAATAATCACATGATAACCACTAGAGACAAGGTCAGGTCATATTGATTGGTTAACTGACTGTCATAATGTCTCTCTTTTTGTCAGTGTTTGTATGACAAACGAGCTAGGCTGAAATTCACTTACACAAAATCTTGTGAAATGAGAGGCAATGTGGTGGCTATTAGTTATAATTGACACGTCAAATTCCTAAGTCATTATTACGTACAGTTCGCCTACTTATATTGTGCTGAAAGCTGGTGAGAGCCACAAAGGGCGGTAACTTGGAGACAGAGCTTCCACTGATTCTGCTAGCACCGTTTCAGTTGATGTATGGGAGGAAACCACGACTACCGATACATAACAAGAGCTGGCCCCTCCATCAGCATTGGAGTATGACGAGATGGCGGCCGGAGCGGAAAGAAGCCATCAACAACGTAAAACGAAAGCAGAAAGTGGACGCCGTGAAATCCAAACTGAGAGTAAAGGAGAAGTACCCCGCATTCGAGATCGGAGATCAAGTCAAATGTAGAGATAGGCGAAACACCGGCGGATACGTGCCAGGGTCGCGGAAACTGCTACCAAAGTGGGAAGGACCATACACGGTCACAACGAGACGGGGCCACGTATATACCAT